CCCCAAAACCCCAAAACCCCAAAACCCCAAAACCCCAAAACCCCAAAACCCCACAAAATTTCTAAAAAATTGAAAATTCTTATATTTCTTTGTTCAAAATTATGGTTGAGCTTTATCAATTCATCCCTTGGCTTGACTAGTTCTTGCTAGTACGGTAAAAATCTCTTGTGTCTTTGTGTTCAAGTTCCTTGTCAGGAACATTGAATGGCCGGATTTTACCGAACCTAGACCAACGAGGTTAGACAACACCAGGATATATCTTATAGAGACAGAGAAGGCTTGGAGTATGACCCAAGTATATCATCCATGTTATGTAGTATTTTAATCAAGCTTTAGCCTCTTAGTTCAAGTTAGATTATCAACAAAAAGGCATGGGGTTCATTCTGACCCAAACAAGATTGAAAAGGAGCCAAATATTTAGGAAATTTTAGGGAAAGCCAATTTATAGTCAGAAGTATTCACTCTTCAACTAGAGCATCTACTATCTCTTATTAAAAAATAATCTCATGGGATTATTAACAAATTTTAATGGTAAAAATTTTTGAAGTAGAAATGGAGGATTGTTAAAATTTTGAATATTCTCATTTAAACACTCTAATTATTAAATTTTAGCATGTTTTTGCCAGAATTAATTTTTACACTTTATGTATGAGCCAAATAACTTCTTTGTGCAGGTTTAATATAACATTATTAAAAAGATGTCAAAGTAAATTTCCTTGATGTTCACTTCATTGCCAACATATCTGAGGTTTTATTCTTAAGCTAGAGATAAAAACTTTGTATCAAGGTGACTAGCAGCAATATCAATTTCATGTCATTATTAATCTTATTACTAAGCTTTGAGCTCATTTAATGACCTAAAAGAGAAGAGATAACATTCTCTTGTATCTCAGATCCAAGCCATTTCCCAAAGTAGTGTAAGAAGCCGGTATCGAAATAACAAATCTCTTAAATACCTGTATTTATCATTCTGGAGGTTAGACTTCATATCACTGATATTCTTCTCAATTCTAGACTGTTAAAGCCCTATTTTACCTTTTTCTGAGGTCAATATCCTCTGATTTCAGATTCTCCACAAAGGTCTCAGGGTAAGGAATTCCTTGCATATCTTCCTTACTCAGCTATAACTCATTAGTCATGATTGAAGGGTATATTTTAGGACCATATTTGGCGTTTGCGACCAATGGGCTTATTAGACAATATGTAAAAACAGCTTATGTAGCGTCTTCAAAAATTTGGAGACCAACTGAATTAGGTATAAAAATTGCTCCTTCTTCTCAGATTTAATGGTCGAACTTATGTAACGAAAGTTAAAATTTTGGGAATGTTATTGGAAATTTTGATATTTTTACAAAAATTGCCTTTTGAAAGGTGGAATCAATAACTATATCAGGTACAGAAATGCTGTTGGCATTTCTGCAAGTTTTATAAATGAGCTTTTCATGAGCCCTTGGGTGTTAAGGTGAAACAATAATTTTGTACTCTTTCTTTGATACTTCCTGACTTACATTAGTATTATTCACTGTTTGTTCTATAAATAGTGTCAATTCAGGTGTTAAAGCTCAGAAAATCTTTGTATTATTGGAAGCTTTTAACAAACTTTGAGCACTCAAAAAATGAGTTGGTAGAAGATTTTCATCTACCAATGAAATATCTTACCATAATGCTTCTTTATATCAAACTTGTGTTTCATAACTTTTGGAGATGACTCGCCTAATTTTAAAATTACTTATTTTTAATTGGTCCTTTGATAAATTTAAAACATACCCAAGTTGGGAAGAAGCTGTCTATCCAGATACAGCATATTTTTCCAAGCCTAATAATAAAATTTCTTTAAATATAAGCCTTGTGGCAAGGCTATGTTACGGTCATGAGTCCATATTGAAGAACAATGTAGACGGAAATAAGCAACATTAAATTTATCATTAGATTTAGGTTTCGTAATAAACCTGCCCACTCTTGTTCCTTTAGGTTTAGCAATTATTTTTGATGTAAAAAGACTGCGTTTAATAAAAGTTTGATTTCAGCAACGAATAAAAATGTTCAAGCTCACCTTTTTCATGAGTCATGTGGACATTGGGGTTGATATATCCTGCTTGGCCCTCACGGCTGCTCTCAGTAGTCTGTTCCATAATCCTGCTTGGTTGGAGTTTGAGGAATTTGTTCTCCTCATCCTTAGAGTCACAAGATAGCTGTTTGTTATAAACCTCCATCTTTTCCTGAATGTTATTTTAAAATATCGTTTTCACGTTCGTTCTTCTGGCTAAATTTCAGGATTGGCTTGAACTTTAGGCGTTTGAGGATAGAATCTCTTCGATATTTAAAGGATTTCTTTGATTTCCTCCTAGCTTGAGAACCGAACGATTGTTTACTCTTTGCCTCAATTCCTGTTGACTGCTTCCTCTTCTGAGAATCTAAGTTCTTAACCCTTGAAGAGTTGTTATTGACTGGTTCTCACGGACTTATAGAAAAGAAACTCTCCTCTTGGCGGTTATTATTCACATTGTCTTTATTTGTAGAATTATCTACAGAGGAAACACTTGCACTAGAGACACTTGCACTCGGTTCTCACTCTATAGGATCCATATTACGGAGCCTGATAGCTGGAGCATCTTTGTTCTTTTGGAGAATGCTTTGGTTGTGCATTTTGATAATAGTATTTCTTCTCTTCTTCTGAATCGATATTTTTGTCCAGCTCTCACTCCGTTTTCGAGACGCAAGAATAACATTATTTACCCCATTTTTGGAATTTTCTTCATAAGGGCTTAAGTACTGATCTGAAGTCTTCGGAATAATCTTCTTAGAGGCTGCTTTCCATGCAGAGGATTTACCCTTATTCGAATAATTATTGCTGGCATTTTTACTAAGGACAGGTTCATCCTGGGCGTCAGAATCTTCTGAATCACTTTCTTCATTGTCTGAGTCCAGAAATTTTTCAAGAATTCTTTCATCTTGGGCAGCTTCATAAAACCTCTTTCAGCATAGCATGCTCTATACATTATAATGGGAAATACAATTTCGATATCTTCGATTGACAGGAAATGAAATACTTGTGGCCAAAAAGGCAGGTTATTGGCCTTCTGCCCACCAGAGTATTTATACACACTGAAGATCTTCAGTTCCTTCCCAGTTGAAAGGAATGGCATGAATTTGCTCTTAAGCCTTGCTTTGGTGTTGTAGTAGTCAGGATCATTTAGATATGAGTTATCCGAATCGTCAGACTCATATTCAGACTCCTCACTTGCATAGCTGCGTTCCAATACAGGAGCCCTAGTCTCTCTTCTTTTTGAGGGAAGTCATGCATCGAAGCCCATTTCTAATTGCTGTTCTGTAGTCTGCTGCAAATATTTTTGATTAGCTTTATACAACTTGTCATCAGCGTTATTCGTCGCTCATCATCCCATCTTTAACTATAATTTTCAATAATGGGGTCTTACAAGGGGTTTTGGGGTTTTGGGGTTTTGGGGTTTTGGGG